ACAAATCCGGACAAATAAAAACAAATAAAGACAACTTTAGACAAATAAAGACAAATTTTGCCAACGACATACAAAAATAAGGTTTTGGGCCTTTACTTGTAAACTCTCCATAATCTAAACCCCCTCAATCTAGACCGCCGCAACCGGTCAAGGACTTTTTTAATATATTATAATATATTATATTATATTATAGTATATTATATATTCAATTATATTATATGTTGCAGGAGCCTTTGAAGGCCCAAGTTGAAATTTCTATGTCTCTTCGCCTTGGCAAGCATTCTCAAGCACCTTGTGGCCTCCAAGCTGCATCAGCCTCGCACATTTCCGTCCATATTCTTCGTCTCGCGGCCACTACCGTGGTGGCTCACAACAGCAGTGGCAACAAGGAGGGCACCTGCTGCTGCTGCTGCTGCTGCTGCCACTTCCACTGGAATTATGCTTGGTCTTTCTGCTGCGTTGCAAGTTTCTAATACGATTCGCGCAACGAGCGGTATTGCCCCGATTTTCACTGGGTCTTTAGTCGATCTGCGGTCCGACTGAAAGCGGCCCCCGGTTTGCCACTGGCCGCCGCCGAAAAGCACGGCGAAGCGGTCATCACCTGAAAACACCACAAACATGTGGCGAAAGCATTCAAGAAATGACCGTAGTCACAACAGCCACAATACTTGACTAAAGGCATGTTCGAAAGGGCAACATCTCAACAAACACAAGAGTTTATCAACTAGTGACGACAGCGTTGCACAACAAAGGCAAGTAGTATGGAGTCGGACTGGCGATAATAGCGATAATCCACGCATGGGGTGGTGTTGATGGGTTGATGCCTGCGATTATTTCGGCCTATTTCTTGGAAACTCTTGGAGAAAGGCTTCCCGCAATGCATCGTTCAGAGCACGTAAAGGCTAGAGCCATCACACTAGCCCATCAGCAAAGCCAACAACATGGAGCTTGTGCACGGCCAAAGTTTGGACTGCCAAGTCAAGGAGTTCATGACCCATGCAGACCAGGATCAGTTTGTAAGAGTCCTCGGCTGCAAGATCCAACCTAGTACAGTACATCCGTAAGTCTCATGTCAACGAACCCACTCCGTTTCCTGCGTGAGCATCAATCCTCCTCATTCGCACAGAATGCTTCCACTGCACTTGCAAAGACTTTTAAAGGCGATCCAAGGTGCGCTCCAAACTTTGCCGGAGGAAGACTACCCGTTGCTGAGACTTGATCAGTGTGAATGACGTCCTGCTTTCAAGGAGCCGCGCTAGGCTTCAGGACAGGGCATGCACGGCAGGCAGAAGAGGCTGATAACTGATCTGCTCTCAATCGCTAACTGCTGTGTTGTGAGAAAGATCGACATCCTGATGGGCTCGGGAACGATCCAGGCGCCAAAGATCGTCGCAATAGGTGTTCCTGCAGTGAAGTGCAAGTCTGCAGATCAATGGTGACGTGGCAAAACCTGAACTGACCTGACGAACTTCCCCAGCGACATGAGCCGTCCACATCACGGACTTTAGAGCAGGGCCGAGCAAGGAAGCATCCCTGCGGCAGTATCGCCCCACTCCGGAAACTGGAGCATGAACCCTTGGCCGCGGAATTCTGAGAAGCCAAGAGACTGTGAGCTTCGACCACCCCACGCATACAGCGCGCCGTTGAACTGGCAGGGGCACTTAATGCACTGCCTCTGCACTTGCGTCTCTGGGCTCGAATCTTGTCTTGCCGAAGTTTGCATGGAGCCACGCCTACCACGCCCCTTCAGCCTAGACCAACAACATAGAATGAAGCAGGCTGCGGGCAGGAGACGTATCTTCTCGGCCGGGTTTATATGGGACAGGCTATCGCCATGAGCCGAGTTGAGATGCTTGCTCTGAGGTGCCGTCCTCAAAAGAGGACACGAAGTAGCGAGCTGTGGGGACTTGATCCGAGCCTTGGATACATGGAAGGAGCAGACAAAAAATCTTGCTGAGATCCGAGTTCAGAATAGACCCAACCAATCTTCCCCACAGCCCTGATAAGCCTGATCTCAAAAGACGACCTTACTTCGCATGAACACCCCAAACAAAACAAGGCCAGAGACCACGGGACATCTCCAAAGGGAATCTTCGAGATGTTTGATTCTGGTGGACATGACACCCTTGTTCACAAGCTGGATCCGGCTCACTGGGAGCGTAAACTCGGGCTGGCTGGTGACTACCCCGTAAGTACTTATGTCCAAGCTGCTGTTCCGCAAACTTCTCCAAGTCCATGTCTGCACGTCCAGGCTATAGGCCGTGTTGTAGGCCTATTGCAGTTTCGTACAAATATGCCATAGACTCCATAGATCCCTTCACGATTCAAGACGAAGCTCAATGTCTGAAGGCCTCCTAAATCAGAACACACTCATCACGTCGAAACAAGGCAGCCGTCAGAGCATCACAACCGGAATCGCGTGGTTGCACAGCCACAGAGCACCAAAGACTGCATGTGTCAAGAGACAGCACAACCAAATTCAGCATGATGACTTTCACTGTGATTCCTGGATTATGGGCCTGGCCATAGTATCCACCGCACCAGAATACCCACTTGTCGCCCAGCAAGGTGTGAGCAGCTGCATAGGTGTGGGCGATCGGGGGCGGAGTGCCTGGACGGCCGCCCAAGGGCCGGGTGGGCAGGGCGTCGGATTTCGAGCTTTCTTAAGCTTCCGGAAGGGACAGAAGGTCTGAAATTTCAAGCATCAACTTGTTGGGCTAATCATCCTAATCATTAAACAGGGTTCTTGGGTTCATTATTTTATAACCGTTATAGTGTCGTACTACTTTATGTATCTCAACTTGGCAAAAGCCTTGCGTGGGCTGACGAGACCAGCTCCGCTGTGCGATGTCGAAGATGTAGACATGTGGCTGATTCCAAAGCACTTCCTTAAGGCAAGTATGCAGGCAGAATGGACTTGTGAAGGATCCTGTATCATCTCCTGCGAAAGGCAAAAGTGTCATAGACGCCCCGAGCACTGCAAATGGGCGGCGTTTCTCGCTTCAAGAGTGTGGGGCAGCACAGGGCTTGAAGGGCAGCATCACAATTGTCGCATTTCTGAACTGCCCTTGCTGGATTTCGGGTGTGCCACGGCTAGCCACGGCTATTATTTCTCAGCGAGCATCCACCATCCGCGTCTGCGCGTTTGCCAGCTCGTAGCCTGCAGTCTGCATCAAGAACAGAGAGGCAGGAGGCGGCATGGGGTGAACCCGTGAACCCTGTTTCAGGATGTCATGTTAGATTCGGGGAACACTCTCATTTGCTGGCATTCGAATTCTGATCAGATGATGTTCGGCTACGAGGAGGCCTTGGCGGCACTGGTGTTAGTATAGGCACTGCCCGCGAATAGGGGAAATCCTTGCCCCCACTCTGCCCGAAATTCCCGTAGCGCACAGAGCCAGAGAACGAGGCCATCTATCTACATACACGCCCAAACAGCATTATTTCCTCTATGCGGTGGCGACCAGCCGATGCAAAGGCTTGTCTGTGATTTGCAAGCGCACCGGCTCTCCGAAGCCATGGCGCTGTAGCAGCCACCACCCACTACGGAAAGCCGGCCGCCGGGGAGTACTGCAGCGGCAGAGCACCACACCTCTGATGGCTCTTTTTGTTGCTCGTTAACATGCTGCGGATGCAAGTGCCTCAGGGAACTGCATACAGGGATTTCAGGTTGGAAGAGTGTTGCCGGAGCGAAAACGCTTGGACAGCTTCTTTTTGTAGGCTTCCCACTTGTCAACTCCTTTTCCCTTGTTCTCTCTCTGAAGCATGAACTAAGTAAACCGGATAGCAGGTGGTGGTGCATGGCCAGGGCCGGCAGGTCTTGCAAAGTGGGCGCTGCGGAATTCGGAGAGGAGCCTCGCGAGAACAGCACGTGGTAATGGCGGGGGTGCGCATGGCAACTGGTGTGCATAAGGAACTCATTTGGGATACTCAACAATAAATAAGGCTCTTTACGGACCTTACAGAAGAGAGCCCCCTCGCCTGTTTTTCCAGCAGCCCTCATTCAGAAAGCAGTGAGACTGGGAGAGACACATGGTCCGAAAAGTTTCTGTCACTATCATAGATGCACCCGCGCCTTGTAGGCCTTACTATCAGGCTTGGAGTGTAGCTTCGGGATGCCCTGCCCCGGCCATGTAGTAAGTGCCGAGTCACTCCACCAGGGCGTCAACAGTTCTGGCCTGCACGAAGCAAAGATCCGAGTCAACACTGCCCCAGACTCTGGAGAAACCTCGAGTTGCAGGAAATTCCACAGCGTGGTCTGGTCTTTACTTCTGCCAGTCGGCCCTAGCTGAGTGAAGACCCAGGCAGCCCAAGAGGCGTGCCTCATCCAACCGCCGTCGCAGCTGCCGTGCTTCCCCAAAATCCTACAATGGCAGATGCATCAAGACAGGACCTGTTCGCCTTGCTGTATTCTTGCTTCAAACTGCAAGCTGAAAATCCTGTGTGAGGCCTTTCCAAGATATTCAGGGCCTGTCAGTTTAAAGGCACCGTTTCTCAGACACCCACATCTGTGCGCATTGGCTTTTAACATCGAAAGTTGCCTTATTCTTTATTGCAGTCTGGCTTGGGAGCTCGAGCTCGCCTTCGGCTAGAATGGGCTAGAAGACACCTGCCTTCACCGGGAACCTCTTGAAACTTCATTCCTTCCCAGCTCCATCTTCTGAACGGCCCCTGCGCTGGCAGCCAAACTTCGGATAAGGACATGCGTTGCGGGCTTGCGGGGTAAGTTGTTGCACAGTTTTCACAGCTCTTACGCTCATTGTTGTAGGATGACCGCATGGTGACGAAGACATGCAGTCGCAGATGCTTACAAGGTGATGTTCATGCGGGAGATTTTCGGGCTGGAGGGTATGGCGTAGCATAGGAGTGAGATGGAGTGATTGATAATGGTCAGGTGGTCAGGTGCCGGGAACTGCTACAATCCACAGCCAAACAAAAGACAGAACCCTCCGTCGGTCCCGGTGCAGGCAGGCGTGGAAGAATCGGACAAGCATGTCGTGGTCCTGGGAGAAATGGTTCAGTCGATAGGCATCACCAAAACGGAGCACAACCGCTGCAGGACATCGAAGTAGTATTGTTACTACTGTTATTATAGAATTTAGAAATTAATAGTATTACTGTATTACTTTTACTATCACAATTCGCCCACCCTTGCAAAGCCAGGTCGCGCCCAATGGTTGTGAGTTGCCAGTCCGGTGCCTTAGGGAGGTTCTTCACGGGATGATCAAGGTCCACAGGAAACCATACATGGCTCATACTGATAATGATACTCATACTGAGACTGATGTTCTAATTCATGTTACAGCAAATACTAGTGTAGTGGGCAACATTACTTTTTGACGGCTGGAGAAGTGGTCGAACTGCGAAAACCCTTCAAGATCTGAAATGGTGCTTGCAGAAATTATCGCCACTGCTGTTAAAGTATACAAGAAAAACCTTCACCACGCAGTTCGACATATGCACAAGTCGCGCTGAGGGACACCTCCATGCTTTCACCAGGTGGCCACACCTCTCCTGACCTCTTGCCTGGGCTGCATACCTGGGTTGGAAGACCTATCCACATCACTGTGCTTGTGATTGTTTGTTGGGAGACTCGTGTCTCGTAGCGCAAGACATGAAGGAACAGCTTTGTGGGGGGCGGCAGCGCGACAGTTTTATAAGCGTGGATCAAGGATCTGCTGAGGTGACGGCATTGAACCAGTTCTGCCAAATCCCCATGCCACACCTCTTGCAGAGGTAGTTGCACACATTCTGCGACGTCAGCAAGCGGCACCGCAACTGCCGCGCGAAGGGCAAGATCCTGATGGTTGTGCAGAATGTGCGAGGACTGCGTGTGGTCACACAAACTAGCGGTTTGTTCCCAAGAATTCTCACCTGGTGTCTGTCGTGTACACGGAGGAAAACGAGCCACAAGCCATAAGTTGTTGCTTTTCCGGCTGCAGCAACTTCACGGTCGCCTTCCCACTGAAAATTCAGGTTGGTAAAAGGGCAGACGCTCTCCATCTTTGGGCCGCGTCAGTCCCCCTTGCGTGGCTAGCTGGCACTTCTCGTTGCTGATCGTGTCTAGTGCCTTGTCTCACGTGCGAGGCCCAGACTCCCAGACCTGTTTCGTCAGCTGCGGTGTTGACTGCGGCCCTGCAAGGCCGCTGTGCGGAAAGGCTGCAGGCACAAGCCAGCCACATGTCTACCGGTAATTGAGATGGAGTTCGCCTGGCCATGGCTAGGCATTGCTGTAATCCATGATCTCTGGTCTCCACCCTCGCTGGATGAACGCATATTCTACGCAAGCATGAGGTGCACAGATGTTGATTTCTTTATGAAACAACCTGAATCCAGCGGACTCAACTTGATCCACCAACATAGAAAGCCGCTCTCTGTAGCTCTCTTCCTTGTCAGCATGCACGTCTATCATCATCTGGCCTATTGAAGGCCAGCCCGTCGCATTCAGGCTGGAGATCACCTCGTATTCGAGGCCCTCGATGTCCAGGTTCAGGGCATCGATATGGCTGTGTCCATGTTCCCGCATGATTGTAGTGAGAGTTTTCACAGGCATTCCTTCTAGCCGAGTGAAGTTCTTTGAGGTGCCCGGGCCAGGCTTGAACCTGCCATCGTAACTACCAAGACTGAGATTATGAAAATGGACATGCATGTCCTTGGGGCGCCGTGTCTCGCCCGATGAGGGACCATGCATATGAAGTTCGCAGGATTTTGTCAGTTTGCTCGCCCCTTTCCCAAATTCGGTGTGGCCCAAACTGAAGGAGTACACCACGCAGGGTATCCGAAGAAGACGGGTGCCACACGCCCACTTGTTTCCTCCATCTGAAACCCCGATGTGCTCCTTCCCCCAAAGGCATGGCCAGCTGGGCTCGAGACCTTTGAAATCAGGACTCGGCAAAGCATCCAGCTTTGACCTTCGATGCCAATATACCTCTTCAGATTTCTGCTCCAGGTGAGCCAGAAGATTTGGATCCAACCAGGGGCCACTCAAGCCCAAGCCAGAGCTACTTGACAAAGATTCCAGTAGGATTTTCTCTGACATGTGCTCCAAACGGATGATCTGTCGCTCGAGTCTCTGCAGCGCTGAAAGAAGATCGAAGCTCGACCTTGACCTCGGCTCCCTGTGTACGAAATCGGCTTGCAAAATCATCAGCAGAAGTGACACGGACGCGAGTGCTCCGACCATACATGCCATCCTGGAACACCGAGCCATGGCCCATCATTGAGCCAACATCTAGACAACGTGCAGCTCAGCAGCTCAGTGCATCCCTTCCATGTGCTTCCGAAAGCTTGATGGCTTAAACAACTTGTCGAACATGAGCGGTGCAAGGCGACTAGAAATCCGTGCATTCCACAAATGGCACCTGAACTCCCCAGAACCTCTCCAACACAAACACTCACACACACACACACACTCGTGCAAT